AAGAGGCATTTTTGCATGCCTGATCCTGACATGTCTTGGGCGCATTGTTACTGCTTGTGCCCAAATAATATAATTGGTTATCTGGAAGTGCAGGCATAGGTATTAATACTCTTATAATTAATTTAGGGGTTCCATATGTAAGATTATTATTATTTTTCTGCATTATCACTATCATCATTTCTATGTGTTTCTATGTAGGGATGAGGGTCAAACACAAAGTCCAAAGTCAAAGCTAACATTACTGCAAATCTTGTGGAAAACCTTAAACATTATTGGTTATCTGAGTAATAAATAGAATAAGATCAGATTCCATTCCATATTTCTTGGAATAATTAAAAATAAAATACAGGTGGATTCACTTTTTGATTTCATGTCAAAGAATTTTCAAAAAAACGTATAATTAAAATGAAAAATAAAAACAAAACAGAAAGAGCAGGGAAATGAAAAAGAAGTTGACCAATCAGAGGGATGCTGAAGCCAACCTGGTCACCCCATTCGTTGATAACGGGCATGTTGATGTCATCTACAAACACCGTCATCCTGCGCCCGGCCGGCGGCCCATACGTGGCACCCATTCGTTTATCGATGTAGCTCTCGATGGTTCTCTGGAACATGCTGGGCAGGGTGGCCGACGAGAAATTCAACGTCTTACTGAGGTGGCTCTCCGGGTCGAGCTTACTGGTGTAGCCCTGCAGGGGAACCAGAGAGAAAAAAAATGTAGCATTAGCAATATTAAAGTGAATGAGGAATCCCCCAAATTCTTAAGTGTCTCACTTTAATCATGACGGTCTTCGCGGTTCCCTGCTCTCCGATCAGTAACACAGCCTTCCTCTGCTTTATGATGGTCTGCATCAGGAAGTCCGTCCTCACGTTGTCTACGTTGGGAACCAGGATGGACGAGTAGTCTGGGATGTGGTCTTTGGGGTAGACATACTCTGGGACCTGCATAATAATAATAATAAAAATAAATACAAAAAGACTACCAGAACTTAATAATATGGTTGATATCTCCCTTCTCACTGAAGCACTACAGAGAACAGACACAGAATATGCAGAAAAAACTCTTTAAGGAGAAAGTTTAGCGTCTGCAGACCTTGTTGGACCAGTGCTCCCACTGTCCATGCTCGTTGACGGTGAACTCAAAGATGGTCTGGTCATCCTGAGTGTGCGGCAAGTCCAGAGACGAGCTGTGGTGCTTTAAACAGACACACAACAACAAACAGGACCTGTTAGAGACCCCTAGAGGATACCCTACACCCAATATGTGCAAAGGCGTATTAAAAAGGTCCAGTGTGCAACATTTAGGAGGAAATGGAATATAATATTGTTTTATAGTTTTTATCTACAGCGGGAGTGGGTCCTCTTCGACGGAGGCCGCATGTATGCAATCTGTAATTTCACCACTAGATGCCACTGATATTTAGTTTATTTTTGCAAGGAGAGCACACAGCTAAAAGCAATCGCACCAGAGTTAGCACAAAAAGCTAATTTGCATCTGTTGTCCCTGGGCAGGTAAACAAAAACAACCACAGAACATTCAATACATAAAACAGCACAACACATAAAAGTCCATCAGTGTGAGATAACAAATAGAATAAATATGACAAATGAATACAACAAGGCGAACATTGGTGGGGACAGTGTGTGGTGACTTCAGCCAGAGCCTGAGACTGAACAGCAACGGTAACCCAGAGTTTTCTGTTGTACAGAATGGATCCCCAGCATTTAGAAACTGCCTAATCAGTCATTGGTGGGAATGTTCAGATCGTCAAATATATAAACATGGGTAACATGACAACTCTCCAAAAGTGAGACCAAAACCTCATCTTCTCCATCTGGTGGCTGAATGCAGTATACAGTTGAAAATGAATCAAAATCAACCCACCAGGAGTTAAATATGGCCTCTTCCGGTATTTAAACTGTATAAACAAATATATAAAATCAACAAACAATCCCATTCTCACACACACCTTTAGGAAGGCCTCCATCTTGGCTCGGTCATCTAGCTCTAGCACTGCTCCGAGAGACCACATCACCGCAAACACAAACAGTCGACCCACGTCACCATGACAACCCTGCTTCTCCTCTGTCGCCGGGAGCAAACCCTGAACACACAAATTATGAAAAATACACACAAAGACCTGTGAACTAGGACACATCAGGACGAGTATTAAAGAGGAGGAATTAGGAAATGTCAGTGTGTTTACGGAGTCCTTTTCTTAAGACTGTCAGAGCAACAAAGACGGTGTGTACAGTGTTTTACATCTGTGTCGTACCTGCAGCAGGTCAATAGTCTGTCTGATGTACATACACTCCAGCACCTGTATCTTAGGAGACACAGCAGTGGACACAAAGTCCAACAAGTCCTGTAGGAGGAACAGAAAAATTTACACATTTAACATTTATAAAACAGTCCCCAACAGCGCCAACGTAAAAGTACAAGAGCTAAAGCTAATGATTCAATTGATCAAGTTGTGAATTGTTTATACTGGGGACTTATTTGAGACCAATTTATGTCCTTTAAACAATTAGGGAAAAAGTATAGCCTCACATATCCTGGAACAGGATTGGCACTTAAAAAGTAAAACATGCTTTTAAAACCTTTTAAGGGGGTTGCAGCCACCTAAATTTGAGGTGTATAATTTTGAGATGGTGGGAGAGGAACAGTGGGGGGAAATTATTGGACCGGGTTTAAAGTATTGAGGGAAATGCAGACATGTTTAAATAATTATAAAATTATTAACAGTATTTATTGGAATTTATATGTGTATGTATATTTTTCCTTTTGTAAAATGAATAAAAAGAAAATAGAAATTAACAGAAAGCAATGGCTGCCTGGACGGATTGTCGTCCTCACCTGGTAGCAGCAGTCGAAGCAGAGCTTCAGGGTGTCAACTTGCTGCTCAGGTAGCTTCTGTAACCAGGCCTGCAGGATGGGACTCCAGCCGAGCACTGAGGAGCTCATGAACACCATCCCATTCCTGGATACCGTGGCTGGGGAGGCATTGTCAATGTTGTGGGGCTCAAAGACAATCTGGAGGCAGGACACAAAGGACCCGGATTCAGTTTAGATCTTCCGTATGACAGTGTTGTTGGAAGTTAAACTGAAGTCCTCACAACACTGACAAGACAGACAGACAGACAGACAGACAGACAGACAGACAGACAGACGGGTGCTGTGACCTTGCAGCAGGGAGCCATGGGGATTCGGTCTCCGTTCGCCAGCGTCAGGGTTTTGTTGTCGTCCAGAACTGAGTTCAGGTTCTCAATCCAGATGGCATCCACGGGACCATCCAGCACGATCCAGATATATTCGCCCTGACACACACACACACACAGATTAAGTCATAAACCTTTAAATAAATACATTATATTATAAATATATTTTTAAAGGAGAAAACAATTTTGCAAGTCTGAGTTCTGAGTTAGAGCAACTTGGAAAGATTATTTATATTTAGGAGTTTAACTGTAAAAGTATACACCACTAAAGAGTAACTACACTCCCGAACCACTTTTTTCAGCTATAAAACTTCTGTATAAGAGTATCTTTTAGTAGTGTTGTTTATTGATTCTTGAAACATATTTGCATTCTACATATTGTGCTATAAAAGTGAATAGTGACCGCCCTCCACTGGTTGAAACCTGGCTATTCTAATTGAATTTTGATATTGGCTGATCACCTATCACCCCCGACCTTTCTGCAATTTTTATAATGTTCTGGAAAACAGGGAGCTAGCATTTAGGGGTTTAGTTACAGGTTTTAGTTGTCATGGTACATGGAACTATTCCAATGTTCAGAAAAAGGTGAGTAAAGCTCTATGAATGGTTGGCCTCTTTGGTTTGGTTTTTCTTTGGTTTACATTTCTCTATATTTGTTCATTCATTCATCTGTGCATGCACCAACCTTCTTGGCCTTCAGAGTCTTCCTCCACAGAGTCGAAAAGACACCGTCAGTCCAGTCGTTGGTGGTGACGTCCAGTGTGCCAAACATCTGCGATGCGGTGATCGCTTTGGGGTTCATCCTCATCTCCCGGTGGGGGGAGCCGCACTCTGACATGGCCTTCATCAGTGTGTGAATGCAGGCCGTCTTCCCCGCACCGCTGGGACCCAACGTCATCATACCTGCATGAGTACATGACAGCAGCACTAACTTCTATACTGAGGACGTTTAACGAGAGACACAAAGTCCACAGTCAAAGGTAATATTACTGCAAAGCATGTGGGATATATTTAGATGTTGTACTTTCAGCTGGCTTTTGGACATTTGATTGCTTGCTAACTGTAATGATCTGTACCATGTCGGACTCGCTGCGTCTCATAGAGCTGAACCAGTTTGAGGATCCAGGGGGGATGAGGGATCAGACCAGCCTGCTGAGCCTGACTGAAGATGGAGGACTCCAAGTCTGGATACCCGGCTTTATCCAGAACTACAAACAGACAAAGAGGGGGAGTTAAATAAAACTAGTCTTTAAGACATATTCAGTATTAAGTTTATTTAGCCATGTACTTCACTAATGACAGGTAAAGACCAAACCACTTCATGGTTAAACGCAGTCTAAAATATTACCTTGCCAAAACCGCTCTGATTATTGTAGAAACTCTACACGTTGTTTGAATCAACAGAAGGATGTTCTGGATTACATGTGACGACTGTGTTAGTGTTTGAGTGGGTTATGTAGTGAGAGACAGAAACCTACCAATACCAGGGAACAGATCATTGATCAGACTCATGAAGAGAGGCTCGTCCTCATCAACCTAAAGAGATACAGAATCCATGTTACTGTTATAAAATGTATAAAGCATCAGTTCAGTTGCTTATGTAAGATGGAAATCTTTAATACACTAATGTAAATGTGCATTTCCCAGCACGTTTCGTTGACAAATTAAAAAGAAAAAACCTGGACAAATAAGTGCAGACGAATGTAGATGCTCGATGTAGCAAAGTCATATGGTCAACAAGTGGGCAAACACCTATGGGTGATTTTGGACTGACGTGTTGTTGACACCAACCACCAACATCATCACAACACCAAATGAGGGAATATCTTTTAGAAGAATTTTTGCGTCCATCCCTCCAGTAGAGTTCCAGAGACTTAAAAGGTCAGCGCCGAGGTGCATTGAAGCTGTTGCTTTAGCTTGGTTTTTCCTTTTAAATTTGTTGCCTGCCTGCATTGTAGTTATATATATTGCCCCATTTCTCCATAGTGTATGTCAGTACAAAACAAACACACCAGTTTGGAGAGATTCATGTCCCTCAGGACCCTCATCACCACAGTCTTCTCTGGTTCTGACGGGTTGGATCTCTTCACGGCTCCCAGCGTCCTCAAAACCGACAAAATGTTCCTCAGACCAAAATCATAATGGACCTGGTGTAAAAACATATCATGAGGTCTAATATAAAAATAAATACTTTTTGCAAGCTGAATATATAGAGACAAAAACTATGATTTTGATTGAGATTATGTATGTTTGTAAGTAAAACGGCAAAATCACACCCAAAGTGAGACAAGGAAACATATATCTATATATATTTAACTACAATATAGAGCTTGAATGAACATTAGCAGGAGAAGATGACAAAAATCAATCAATATCAATATCAATATCATTATAATCTTCAGACCTGTTTGGAGAGCTGCTCCTCACACAGTTTGTAGAGGGTGTAGAACTTCCTGCTGAGGACCTGGTTGTCACGGAAACCTGCACTGGCCAGTTTGACCCTCATGATGATGGCTCGGTCCGGGACCATCATTGCTACTGTGCGAAACTGAATCTTCAGATTCTCAGGTAGCTCCTGACGACCGGCGTAACCGGGGTTCTGGAGAACAGAGAAGTTACTGGTAAAGTCTGGAACATTGTGATTAGTTAGGATGTGGATCAGCTCTCCAACTCTGGTTCTGCAGTAGTTTGGTTTCTGGAACTTTTTGACTGGTTCTAAGACATCCCTATCCTAACTCTGGATCGGAAATAGTTCAGTCTTTGAACACTCAAACTGTTTGCTCTGTTTTAGTTTTGATTTTATTGGATATTTCTGAAGCTCAGAAATTGATTGTCAGCACATGAAACATTTAACCACGAAGTCATTTTTCTGTGAATGAATAATAGCAATAAAAACTATAAAGCACAAGCCCCTAATGCAGGATCATTCGTTGGGTCAGAGCTCACTTACCATGGTGAGGAAGATGCCAAACTCAGGGTCCATGTCAACTACGTCTCCGTCGGTGAAGACAAACTGTTTCTTCTTGTTCTTCTTACACTGCAGAACGATGTAGATTTGCTGGGCAGCGACGGAGAGGACTGGTAGCTCGATGCGGTTAAACTCATCAAAGCAGCCCCAGGCTCCAGACTGGGCCAGACCTGCAGAGACACACAACAATAAACTGATGGCACTTTGCTACACTGGCTTTATCCCAGCATTCTTTGGATTGGTAATGAGACAGATAGGCATCTGATAAGGTGCATTTTGGTGTTTGAACTTCAAAAGTTGATGATAACTCAGGACAGACTGCAGTTGCAATCATCAAAGGTCAACATGAACATATTTGGGCACTCAAATTTGTTCATGACCCAATACCATGAGACAGTATCAGGTCTTGCGCCAAGTCCATGTAACAAGTAGGTCATAAGTTTGTCCATGACACTTTTCTTGGAGTAAGAGGTCTTTAGGGAGATCTGCTCCCTCAAACACCAGAGACCAGCGGACCAACCTGAAGTGGACTGGTCCCAGTCTGTGTTCGTTTCTGTGTCAGGGTTATGCTTGTAATAAAAAGACATGAGCATCGTGAGCAACACAAGCAGATATTTCAAGACCAGTGAACACCTCCTCTACTGTATATTTCTAACTCAAGCATGATTGTTTGAGGTGAATCCATCAGCAGGTACTAAATACAGAAGAAGGTTTCCAGTAACTACCAATATTTTACAGCACTAGTGTAATCACACACACATTCACACACCTTTGTAGATGCGTCCAAGTCCTCTGTAGTCCATCTGGTCCGAACAGTTGAAAACAACCACGTATTTCCCCAAGCAGCGACCCATGTCTTTAGTGGTCTCTGTCTTACCTGTAAACACACAGAATTAGAGTAACAAATCAATATAAGAATATTTTAGTTGTCACTAGAGACCAGTACAGTGAGTACTGCGTTACCTGTTCCTGCTGGACCAGCTGGAGCTCCACCCATACTCATCCCCAGAGCCTGGGACAGAGTTATGTAACACCTGGAAAGATGTTCAAAATGGTATTAACATATTTGCTATCATATCACCCAGCAGTCAGTGGGTTTGGGTTTGTCAGGTGTCTGTGTACCTGTCTGTCAGCGGGGTGATGACCAGTCTGTCTGTACAGCCCAGGTATTCATTGCAGTAGCTGAACTCCACATCTGTGATTTGGATGACACATCTGTCAGTGTCCTCCAAGAAGTAAAACCTTGACTGTTTTTGCCACTCAAAGTCCGAAGCAGATCGCACGTTTAGATGCACCTGATGGAGAAAACATAATAAAGAATTCTGCTTTGATCAGTTTCAAACCATATATAATTTGTCGGTCCCTCCGTCTACTCACAAGCTCATCGAAGATGTCTCTCTGGTGGACGTGGATGGTGATGAGAGTCTCATACTTGGTCCTCTCATTTCTGCTCAGCTCCCTGGTTGTCATGTCGATCAGCTCATTGAGGAGGTCTAGGAACTTCTGATTGGTCGTCTGCATGATCTGTAAGCCAATCAGAGAAGGGGCAGTGAGGGGAGGAGATCTGCATTATGATGAAACTGTTTCCACTCTGCTCCTGTCCTCCTCCAAAATAAAAGCACCTTCTTGTCTGACTTGCTTAGCACGAGTGCATCTTCTGCATCTTTGGTCCAGATCATCTGGATTCCCAGCAGGCCAACCTGAGCTGGAAACGCAGACTGGAACTCCAGCAGCTTCAGACCCGGGTCGCTGATGGCCAAGTAGGCCTGACGAATGATAGCATGGAGGGTCTGCCTCACCCCTGCTAGCAGCTGTCCTAACCACGACTCCACATTCCCCTAGAAGAGACAAGTCTTATAGCTAAAGCTGCAGCTATCATGAGTCAAAAGTCTTTTTAAAAAATCCCAAAGCAGTGTGACAGAACAGTTTCTAAGCAGGTATGTGGTTTAATAAAGTTTAATAAAGTTGTAGGAAACAGCAGACTCTATTATTTTGTTTAGGACATTGTAGGGGGTTTTGGGAGTGATGGACTTGATATCCTGTGCTGAATTTGTGTTTGTCGTTTGTGATATATTTAAAAAAATACTTCAAAAGACCAAAAATAGACCAGTTGTGTATTCTCTGCGGAGCCTCTGGTGGAATCACGAGCATGGTCTAGATCGGTGGATTTTGGCCATGGGGTTAGGGTTTATGGGTAAGATCATTAATGTAAATGTCAATAGAAAGTCCCCATAAGGAAAGTGATACTAGCTTTCGAGTGTACCTGTGCCAGGACAGGTTGGCTAAGCTCCACAGTTTCTCCTTCTTGAGACTGAAAACTGACGATCTGGTCGTAGATTTTCTCATTGAAAACAACTCTGTTAACGTTGTCAAACAGACTGAGCAGATGAGCCTGAGAGACAGAGACAGTTTGCATTTAAATATTTCTCAAACAAACAACAACAATACAGGAAAGAAAAGCAGATAATAAAACTGAACAGGTTATGTGTATCACTACCACCTGCGTGTTACCTGTATAGTGTGTGAGTCCGAAGCTTGGCCCAGAATCTCTAGCAGGGCTGGGTCAGACACAAAGAAGAAACGAGGAAACACCAAACGCTTCTTCTCCAGGTAACCGGACAGAGACTTCTGACAGAGCTCCAACTGCTCCAGGAGGTGAGGGAGCAGCTGAGGAGGATGCAGAAAGAAGAATCAAGAATGAATCCTGATAAACTGTCTTTCAGATAAATGGTATTGTGTTGCTCAGAGGAACATGGGCAGCACCTGGCTCAGTGTCTCGTCTCCCACACAGCACTGCACCACGTTGGGAAGCTCGTGAGCTCGCTGCATGATCCTCTGCCACGACTTGTCGATGTTCTGGAAACGTTTGGCCTCCTGGACGAGTTAAAGACAAACCTTGAATTGTATCCGATGTGAGAGAAAATGTTACACATATAGGATGATCATGTGACCTGAGGCAGCTGCTTGGCGATGTCTCCTCCCACGAACACTGCCTCCAGGTAGATCCACAGGTTTTGAACTGACAACCACTTCTCGATGATCTCAGAGGTGTTGGAGAGTTTCTGGACCCATAGCTGAATGGACGGCTTGAATGGAGCATTGTACCTGCAGGAGGAACCATTCGTTTGCATTTTTCGCACCTTATGCAGTCGTGAGGACTAGATGCCACTAAACCCTACACACCGGACCTTTATTGTGCATCGCTGTCGGTATGAATAGTTTTGATTTTGAGAGCATTTCACATTTTTGTGCTGTTTATTCATCACGTCCCTAGTGTGCAAAGGTTTTCAGGTTCTTTTTAATGTTTTGTAATTTGAAATGAACTTTTTCTTTCTTTCTTCCTTCCCTTGGCTCTCGTCTCCTGGCATTTCCACACTCTTTCCTTTCGTTCTTCTATCCATTTCACTATTACCTGCTTTATTTTACAACCAGATCTCCCTTTTCTTTCCCTCCAAGTCATTCCCTCTTTCCTCGGCCCTCGTCTCCCACCTGTTGCTCAGCAGCGACGTCAGCACCATCAGACTGTCCTCCATCATGGAGATTTTCTCGGCCGTGTCGGCTCCTCTCAGCAGCAGTTCTCCTCTGTTCCTGAAGGTTGTGAAGCCGAGCGTCTGGCCGCTCCACTCGGCCACCACGTCTTTTAGCTTGGCTTCTATGTCGCGCTCCTTGACCGCGCTGATGCAAACATCCTGACACACGGGAAGACAGAATCAGCTGTCGTTTTTAGAGAGAGAGAGGAAGTATTTTCCAATGGTTTAATCTGAGAACTCATTCTTCTGGACTTTTAGGGTTTATTCCAACTTTTAATAATAACTGGCTTCCAAAAATAAACCTCTGACCTATCAGGGTATTTAACAACTTTACAGGATTATAGTTTTTTTTCCCCAGTTATTACCAATTTTTCAGGATCATCTCATTAGAACAACTATTCCAAACGTTTTCAGGATTTTTTTGTAATTTATTTTTTATGGTTAATTGCACGTTTTTTCTCAAGTTCTCACAACCATCTCTGACTTTTGGCAGTTATTTTAAACCTATTCAATTATTCAACTTTTTCTGTATTATTACATGTTTTTCAGGGTCAAGGTATTCTTGACTTTTTATGGTAATCGATTACTCTTCAGGCAAACCAATGGAGAAAGAGTAGCGAGTGTGTAACACTGAGAAAGATCTATTGTCAGAAATGTAATATAATATTACTTCAGTGTATAATCACCTGACAATAAGACAACGTTTTTATCTACAGAGGGAGCGGGTCCTCTTCTGGTGGAGTCCGCCATGTTGACCCGTCATGTTTCT